GATCGAGTCACATGATGTTGTACTTACCGATCGAGTCACATAACGTTGTACTTACCGATCGAGTTACATGACATACTTACCAATCGAGTCACATGACTTTGTACTTCATAGGGTCACATGACGTTGTACTTACCGGGTCAAATTTAGGAAGATCAAACTGTGCTGTTTTGTAACTAAGAAAAAATTCTTCTGGTGTCTTAAACTGTAAACCAGCATTCAAAGCAAACTGTGAAACCAGAACAGAACAGAACAGATTATTTCTAAGTAACTCAAGTATTACTTACTGCACAACTGCAGAACTAAAACATTTTGTGCTATCCAGTCGTGCTACTCAGACAGTACACCGTCGCATCGATCTCTGCTGTGTGTCAGCCAATACTTCCACTGTACTGTCTTCGTACATACTTTGCAGTATCCTTGTAATAACCTCATATTCTATGTAAAGTAGCATGCAAGCAAGAACTCCAGTACATCTAAAATACAAATAACTCACCAATCTATCACTACAACTGAAATCTTTCTTCTTTCCAGGAGCCCAATTTACTGGTCTTCCAGCTGCATCTATTTTGTAAAATCATAAAAACCTAATAAAATATTCTTTTCAATGCACATTGACGCTATTTGTATGTATTATTCATTTGATTGTTTAACAGTTACAATGATAGATTCACAACTATTTAGGTTTTAATTAAACAAGTTTAAGAAGAATCAAAGATTATACTTTTTCATTATCATATATCAATGCCATTAGGATACCGAAAATGAAAAAAAAATCTTGTTTAATAATGGTCACTTTTTTGAGAAAATATGCGTCACGAAAAATCTCTCTAGCGCAAATTGCAAGTTAATGGTACAACTAAGGTATCTCACCTCCAATGTAAATGCTATTTTTTGTATCAATTGAGATACCATCATTTGCATAATCTTTCAGGTAACTCCACATTCCCAAAGCAGGTTTTCTGAACATTCCTTTACCTGTGGCAACGAAGACCTAATAAAAACAAGCGTACAGTACGAATATAATCACTGCCACTAGAGGGCAGCCTATACAAAAAAACATGCTTTAAATAAATAGAAGCAGACACTGTTTTCATGAAGCAAATTAACATGGATCAACAGTTAAAGAAAAGAAACATGATATGACATTTTATTTTTTATTTTATTGAAAGACCAATAATTAGACTTCATTAGGAAAGATATAATTCAAGTTTTTTGTAGAGATCAGCTAATTGCGACATTTGAATATCTGAGTGATATGTACAACCAAGGACAATATAGTGTGTTAGATGCATGTACACTGCAAGTTATGAGATGTAAGCAATACAGTCATTGTGTTTTGATATTTACCACCATCAGTGGTAGCACTTTTTTAACTTCAGATGCTTCATAGAAAATATTTCTTGAGACACTAATGATATTGACACAAAACAAGCAATTATGTGCATGAATTCCTATAGTCAGTACAATATCATTTTGTCCTCCATTGTACAATGATATAGGAACAGCAAATATGGGAGTTTTATCTCTATTCATCAGGATATTTTTAAGGATTGCCAGGGGCGGGAAGTAGACTGCCGTTATATGAAAGTTATAAAAGTCACCTATGTATGATACATCAGACCTACCATAGTTTTAATAAATCGTACATTACCTGTATTGGTATTCCTAGTTTCGCCAAGATATTTATTACTTTAGATTTAAATGAGTCCACACTGAGTCGACCTCTCTCGATACCAAGCTAAGTGAACAGACACATTGTTACATGTTATATAGATCATCATCCATGTGTGCACCATAGAACAGATACACAACATTCATAACTACACATCAGGCAGTTCAAGTCAAAAGTGCAATTTCAAATTTTGTGTACTGAATTTACATGCGTTATATACAGCGTGTGGGACCCATGATACAACTGTGACTCTTTATATATCTTGTATAATGTACACTCTAGATCAAAGTTTGTATTTTTCATAGTAGATGAAATTTTTATCTATGTCAAAAAACATACATTTCAGGAGAAGCACATACATATTTTTTTAACCATTAACCATTAACCAGACAGTATCTCTGACAGTCAAACGAACTTGTTAATTAGTGTTGTAGTTAAGAGGATTACATCTTTTCGGTTATATATTTTGTTAAACTATTGTGTGGAAAATACACCAGTGTTTAGCTTTCTGTGAAGCTTAAAGCGCGGTGGTCGTAGCGCAGCGCGTGTTCGAATTTCATGTAAATAAACAATGTATTTTACACGCGTTGTACACGTCTCTATGAGTCCCATATCGAACAGAACGCGGCACGACAAAAGGTCTGGTTACTGTAACACCATTTTTTTTGCTAGTATTTAATTTCACTATTTGGATGTTTTGAGTAATTTACTAGGTTGTAACGGGAAAACAATGAGTTCCATTGTTATTTCACATGTTCATATTGATTTAAATTATCGGATTTCATCAATCAGTGAAAATAGTGAAATTAAAAATCATTGAATAATAATGCACTTATCGTAACTGCTGAAAACTTAGTTCTGTTTTTAGAAGCATTTTTACAATCCCTTTATATGCCTTGAATTTTAAGATAATTTCCCAATAACTAGATACATACACAAATCTCTTACCAGACCAGAAACCCCCAACGTTATCACGAACATAGTATGCATACTTCCACAGTGTGACATAATACAGGACTGATCAAAAATGCATGTCACATGGATTGATGACATATACTGCAAACATCTTTCATTGTACATGCTACCTGAAAAATTTATATATGATACGACAACTACGGACTGTGGTAAAAATGTTTCTTCTGGCCACAGTCCCTCCACAAAGAGGCAAGTTCTGGCAAGTTAATTTTTGTATTTACAAAACTATTATTAAATCGCAGGGAATTGGAGCAAATATCAGGAATGAGCAGAATCGTTGTACATACCATAAAATAAAACACCTTGACATCAACAAAATTAGCATACAATGTGTGTACACTGGTCTATTTCAGAAATAGTTCATCTGTCAACACTCCGCTGTTTCACTTTTTTTTGGAATGTGAAAATATGCACGTGATAAATATATAATTCCACAATATTTTCCCAAAATTTAATGTCAGCAGATATGAGTGACCATTGCCGGAGTTTTGTATCCATCCAAGCCGCAGGTAGTTACAAGTTTATTTGAAGATTATATATTTTTGAATTTTTAGTTTTGGTCTCTATAAGTACATCGTCTTACAATCCCAGATTATATTATGAGGTTATTACAAGCATACTGCAAATTATGCATGAAGACAGAACAGCTGGAGTATCGACCGACGCGCAGCAGCGAAGGCATACTGTCTGAGTATAATAACCTTATTATTATACATCTTTTCCTTCCAAGGATACATCATGGGAATGCCGAAATCAAAAACGGATTTAGCAAACTTCTTTGTTTGGTGTCCAGTCAAACCCTGGTGGCAGCCATGTTATTTTTTATTACGGACATTCCATATTTGGAATTCGCATTTCCTTATATGGTAGGATGAAAATACCCCGTAAAATACCGCAAAATTATGACACGCTGTAACTTATGGCATTACGGTGACAGATAATACTAGTTATTATGAAACACAAGAAATAATTTTCCACATACCGTACCTGATTAGTAAAAAACACAATCTGCAAAAGACAAGAATAAATAAGATTACAGTTGAGTCATGCACAGCAGTGAAATATGCACATGTAGTGCATTAGTGGATTCAAATTGTTATCATATACGTAGACTCATTATCATCTAGGTGTGACATCACAATGTGGTGTGATACGGTATCGGACTACTTTCACAGTGTAAACAGTCAGGTGTCACTACTGTAAAAACTGTGATAAATTTCAAACATTCGCTTGAAGTGTAACAATACTTTGTAAATAAATGCATTTCGTTGCGTTATGTAAAATAACTCTCCGTCAATATGCTAAATCCTGACCTACTAAACGTGAAGACTCAGTGGTACATGACTGTGTGTTCAAATACCCTGTGTCATATACTACGTTCACGTTACGGGATCTCTTCATGTGCCGAAATTTTTAATCCGTTGTGTTTGCAGAGGGATTACAGCAGTTGCGTTCACATTATTCGGGACCCACTTAGGACCGCAAATCTCGGCAAGTGCCAAGTTTCAGTCCCAAGAATCTATCGGGACCGAGATTGAGTTCTTTTCGGCACGTGCCGACTCGGTCCCGATCATACACACACAAGTTTCGGCATGTGCCGACTCGGTCCCGAGCCTCGGCACGTGTCGAGATCTCTAACATGAACGCCACTATACACACCCAGGTTTGGATCTCATAACATTTTGGACTAAAGTTAGTCAAATAGCCACATCAATTAAAACAAAAAGCTTGTCATATATAATACCTCGGTATACCCCACTCAAGTGACATTATTCTGAAATCAAGACTTCCTACATAGCTGTATCACTTTGAGTATGCGACTTGGAGGCATATAGTCACTCACCCATGATGACGACATACTCATTCGAAATACTAAGTGATTATATATAATTATATATGGCGCCAGTCTTTACTGTAATTTCAATTATAAAATGAAACTTTATGTCAGCGTACCTTGTAACCATCAGATTTTAGCTTCCTAAGTCTACCAGGTACTTCCGCATAAATTATTCTGAAAAATGAAAAGTACATGTATTAAATAAAAGAAGGAGCATAATAACTTTCATTGTATATCACATTTTTTTAACTAAATTTATTAGTCTAGCTTATTTTATTAGATTTGCATTTTATTTTGAGCATTTTCACTCACAATAAATAAGTACATGTATAATTACTTACTTCCAATCATTGGTGTCCTTGGCAAATACTTTTCCTGACTTTGTAGTGACAATAGTACCATCTATATCAAAGCCGGCAATCTAAATGAGAAGTAGATTAATGTAAATTACTTGTATTCAAGATAAATTTCATAAGTGAGTGAAAATTGTGTTATTTTTGTAGCAATGAAAACTACACAGGGTCCTGAAGTCAAATCATGGATTCTCACAAATAACATCAAATCATAACAATTCCCAGAAGCAAAAATGATACCATCCACTGTAAATATTTATATTTCAAAATTAGTCTCTCACAAAATTAAGCTGTTTATAATACATTACTCTACACGGTTACACCACGGATGGTTAGGAATGCATTGTGGGGTTAATTTGAAATACAAGTAATACCTTGCTACTAGCCTGTACTCCACATGCAGTATACATCAGGAGTTTTCCATGATTCAACCACTTGGATTCAGTTTCCACTTTTCCTCTACAAACATCTTCTTTCTCATCAACAGGATCATCCTCATGTGATTTTAACTTTTTTGAGTTGTCATGACTGTCATTATCATCAGATGCTCTTCGTTTCTTGCTTTCTTTACCTGACCCAAAAAAGTCACGAATATTTCTCTTAGAAAATGTTTTTTCTTTTTCATCCAGTCTCCTAGCAACTGCATCACTCAGGACATCATCTTTATCAGTTTCTTCTTTAGGAACAATTGTAGAAGTCTTAGAATGTATATAACCTTGACTTTTTGCAACGCAGCTGAAGTATATTTCATTTTTATACTGTCCAGTTATTATTTCAAAAGAGTCGCCGTGTTTCAAAAGTAATGCATCGTTCTTTTCTATTTCCTTTCCTCCAACGCAACAAGAGTTGGCACCAAGCTGAAACAACAAATTATTTGATGATTAATTTTAGATATTAATAGCTTACCATCAGTTTTCCCTCTAATAAAGAAAATTTGTCACTTAGAAAAGTCTCAAAACTATCACGAATCAGGTCTATATACAGAAATAATGAAATTGAAAAATAAAGTTCCACAATGATTTGAACTGGCATTGTGTATGTAAGTTACTGGTATCATGAATCTGGTATCATAAAATTTTTAGTAAGACAATAAATAAAATTATCTCATAAATTGACACTTAATTTATATTTCATGCTAGAAATAGGCATTGCTGAGAGTTCTGGGAACTACTGAGCTTCGCTATCCTCATGGGACCAAGATGGAAGCCATTGGGACACTACTTTGGAACCAAAACTAATAGAATTTTCAAAAATTCATATTCACACTGGTTGCTCAGTTCTGTCAAGAAGATGTACACATACAAATACTGAATGAAAACGTTTTCTAAATAAATGACCATCAGCATTGGGTATAATGCTATAGTGAAATTAAAGGGTGGCAGTCGTCGTGCCGCGTCCCGTTCGATATGGGACTCATAGCGACGTATACAAGGCATGTAAAATACATTGTTTATTTACATGAAACGCGCTGCGCGACGACCACTGCGCTTTAAAATTGTCACAACTTAGCCATGTTCATTTACTTACTTGTTTAAGTTTAACTGTTTTCTTGGTATGATTTGCAATCAACAGTACTGTAATGTAATGATTTATGAATAAAATCTTATGTTAATATCATATGTAGGGCTTGAACACCACAATGGAAATTGTCTTGGTTCACTTTATTGTAAAATACTCAAACTCTCCAAACACAATAATAATTTCATCTTCATAGTGTTCATGTCTAATCAGGAAATACAATATTTTCATTATTACTTTGAAAGGTATTTTAGGGTTCAGTTACGTACTATACAACAAGGAACAAAAAATTTACTAGAGATTTGACATTTTTCGGCACAATTATTGTTGTTCCCATTTTGTTTCATTATAACACCCCCCCCCCCACCACCCACTATATATAGGAAAAGTTGTACACCCATCCACATCCGGCTCCCAGGCACAACACATTACAGTGTTGAAAAATAACTCGACTCTACCTCAACGACAATGGGATATGATATGACTTATAACAGTTTACTGGAACGTTGGTGTGTACTTATAGTGCGTGTGTTGACCACGGCGTTCAATGACCCACCTTGCTGTCGTGAACACCTTTTGTCTGCTATTTTTGTCTGCGGCCCACGGCCAACGATAACACGTTCCAAGTGTGGCAATGGAATTGGATCATGAGATTCTTCACAACACACAAGATAACATCCACCATCAAGGGAAACTAATTGTGCGTTGCTGACTGAACTCATCTTCAGATCAATGTTTGGTAGTTTAACCTCAAGTCATAAACAAACTGGCTGCTGACACTAGATCAGCTGGCCTTGTTTTTTAGATTTCTGCCACAAGCGGGCGCACTCGCAGTTCATGTCACATTACATAGCAATCAGGGCTAATCTGCACTGGCTCGGAAGGTTGTAAATGATTAGCTAGTTTGAATTTGCATAACAATACTGACAATGAACGTGCATTCAACGCCACAAGTTTTTAGCTCCGCTGTCGACTTTGTCGAGCGGAGCTTATCATATGAGTGATTGTCCGTCGTCGTCGTCGTCCGTCGTCGTCGTCCGTCGTCGTCCGTCGTCCGTGTCAATGTTTTACTTTTTCGACTTCTTCTTGAAAACTACAAGCCTGAATGCTTTGATACTTGGTGTATATGTACCTTGGGTAGACCTCTCTTAGTTTTGTTCATTTCATGATGATATCTTCAATTCTCTAATTTTGGTGATATTTTTGTCATTTTTGGTAA